CAACAAATGAGATGACACGGCCTTTCACCCGTGACCCGTCTTGAAAGGGTTAAGATGCATTGCATAAATATACTACTGGATGAAATACTTTGCAACTTGAGAATTACTTTCTTGAGTTTATGTAAATTCTGCAAATAACATATCTCACTTCTATATGCAACTTTTGTATGAATTCACAGCTTGGACATTTCGAAAACTGCCATTGTGATAGATTTTTAAGAAATAATTAAAAATTTCATACTTTTGTTGTACATTTTTGTGTCATCCAATATTATTTTAAAACTTTCACATAGTTTTTATTTTATGAAACTGTAAATTTTATCTTTGTTTTAATTTGAGAAAGAAAGCATGTAGACTTACTGTGTTTACAATAATTGGAATAGAATAAAAATAACTTTTTACCATGCCAAAATCATAATAAGCCAACTCTTTAAAAATTCTCACTCAGAAGATTTCATTTGATATAAAAGTTTTAAACCCATTTCATATTCATTTATATATTTGTTTTCAAATTTCTTATTAGTTTTTTTTTTTTTCAATTTGAGCAGTTACTTAGGCCTATAAAGTTTAATGCAAACACGGCTGAACACAATGACTTTCTCAGCAAAATGAAACTTGATATAATGGAGTGCAAAATGATTTAACTAAGCCTACCTCAACTTGTTCCAAAAAAAAAAATCTTATCATACTTCAACATTATAATAGAACTGAAGTATACAGAATGATAAACAAACTTTTTCAAAACTTAACAAAAAATGAGGACAATAACTTGTAGCAGAAGTTGTTTACAGGCATCCTTCTCCTTGCAACATATCACCAAGTTAAGCTTTTATTATTTTTTCTGACTGCTATGTAAATCATCACTGAACTGGAAGCTTTATTGCTTTTAAACCTCAAATGAATGAAGAAAAAATAATTTTCATGATGTGTTTAGATCAGTAAGCTGCAACTTCTTGAAGTTGAGATGTAGGCAATTACATCAAACTATGACAATCAAGGTTGAGAAACAATGATTGGTTATAAATATTGATAAAACTACACTTGTATTCAAGTAAAAAGGGTAAATTATACTATTTTATCCAACACTATTTTGATTTTTCTCCAAGCAGGCTATGAGTATCTCTTTATGCTAAATAAAATTCAGGAAATTTTCAAACACCAATGATTTCAATGGGAGAATATTGAAATCAAGCAAAAATCAAAATTTGAAATTTTTATAATGCGTGTAAAAATGGCTAGGAATTTATTTTCTATAACAGTTTTTTAAATGAATGGTGCAATTTTGCCTCATAATGGGCTGCCCTTATATAGGCATCAAAGGGTTAAGATTTGGCATAATATATGTAAGAAATGCAATGAAAAACTTACTAAAGTCAATCAGAAACCGTCCATATCCTTTTCTTTGGTACTGTGGCATTGTCATGATACAGGAAACATTATATTTCTGTTGACAGTGTTTTTCCTGAAAACAAATGATACACAATTATAAAATTCACTTATAAATCTATTTATACTAAGAATAGAGATACAAAATATAAGTATTTGCTTGAAAAATAGTTTTATCCAAATTCTATTTGTCAGTGTATAGTCATTTGCTACTCAGGGATGAGAACTGGCTGCCATCTCTGTTGTCAAATTGGTTATCCATCCAATTTGGTTACACAAATGTTGGGGTATGGTGGGTTGGGGTACAGATTAATGGGACTGGAGACAAAATAGTATTACTACTACTACTTGGCTCAATTCCAAGACAATTTTTGTGCTTTGATATGTGAGGCTCCTTTTAACTCACCAAGTGATGAACAGCTAATTAAATCATAAACACCTCAGAAATGTGCAAACTCATTAAAGTGCAATAGCAGATGACTAAAAAAGATCAGTACAGGAAGAGTCTTTAAATCTTTTGCCATCTGCACTATTGCTGTGCACTTTTTGCTCATTTCTTCAGAAGTACTCAGAATAGGCAATTTTCTTTCATAGGGCATAATTTTTGTGCATAAAAACATCTACATGTAGCCTAAATCCAACAGAGATAAGACATAACCAATATTAAGTTTTTTCTTTTTGGGGTGGAGGCAGGTGTATGACGAAATTCTCAAAATCTTTTTTTTAATAGTTAATATCTTTCTGTTACAAATGAAAATGTATTGCAAACACATTATATGTCACAGATTCAAATGTTACTTTCAGCCTTATATGTTACAAGCTGGAAGGATTGGGGAATTTCAGATGCCCAAGACATCAATGTCTTAATATTTTTGACCATTGGAACACAAGTTAAATTGGAGTAAATGTTGGCAATAAATAATGTGAATATTGTGTGCACCAAAATGACCTAGAATTCACCAGTGAGCATGTGGACTACTGAGCTTTTGTGAACTAGAACTCAGGACCAGGCAAGTTTCATTTGCTGCCTCATCCCCAAATAACAGGTATATGATGGAAAAACTCATGTAATGTTTTGTCATAAAAACATAGAAATTTCAACTACAGCAGTACCAACTTAAGTTGATATCCTACTTTTGTCAACTGCATTATAAATTCAATAAATCCAAGAGCAATTTCAAACCATGACAATGGAAAAGTGTGAACCAAGTAATCTGTTGTTGTATAAATACCAATTAACCCTCGAAATACTGGGTCGGTCAAAATGACTGACCTTTTAACCATTAAAGTTCACATACATGACTTTTAATGTTGTAAGAATATCTTCATGAAATTTGGTAAACTTTTAGTAAAGATTTATCTGTGAATTTATGTAGTTAAGACTGAATCTCTAGCTAAGGTATAAGTGCCTTAGAATAATTTCCTTAGGTGGTCAATGCTGACTCAATGTTTCACTATTTTATATGGGTTTTTATGATGATAGTTTCATAATGCTGAATTTGAGTAAAACTTCATTTCATCTAAATTTTACTGAACTTTTCCAAATAAACCCATAATTCCTTAAGGTGAAATGTGGAAACACAAGCATACAAAGATTAAATTATTTCATTTTGAAAATCAAGTGTGAATTTTATAATCTCACTTGCATTGCCATGTATTTTAAATGTTACCAGTTCTCAAAAATAAGCACAAAAAACATGATTCCTATGTACTTGTGTGTTTGCAGTTTTACTTAACCTTTTCTAGATGGGTCATGGGTGAAAGGCCATGTCCTCACATTTGAAATGTTATTGAACTACTATTTCATGAATTTCCATCAATAAATTTGGTATCAAACTGTAGATTATAATTTTAATTTTAGTATTATACTATACCTTACTCAATTTCTTAATTTAAAAGTAGATATAAAAAATACAGTTATACATCGATTTTTGTGTGTCACATGGTATGTTGAATGCAGCGCAAGCTAGAATATAAAATAATAGCCTCTTATTTTTTCAATTTGCTAAGATATTGCTCATATAATAAATCAAACACATTGGCACCCTACCCACCTCTTTCCATTTGTGAAAATGCTCCTTTATATACAATTACTTCTATATATGATGTGAATAACCAATCACAAGCTTAGAATGTACCCCTAGTGGCTTTCTCAGCCATTTTAACATGTTTGGATTCCATTTCTTTCTTTCCAACCAAGATTTCAAGGTGGTAGGTTGTGTCTTTAGTCTGCTAAAAATTTAATTTTTTTTATTTTAGACTGCAATACAGCTTAGTTACTAGACTTGATAAATTACAGTGGAATTCTATGGTATTGATATAGTAATTTATGATTTTTTTGGTTATTTATTTTGTTTCATATCCTCCACATGCAAAATTTTAATAGGCTTAGCAACCTACGTCAAGCAGCAAGGTCTTAACTAGAAGAGATAATTGTTGGCTTTAGTTCTTTATTTACTGTTCTATGTTTTAAGAAAAATAAGTTTAAGAACTTATTTCTAAATAGCAATAATCTATATACATATATAATGTATAATAATCGAAATGCGACTATTTTACAAATTACTAGTCTATTAAAACACAGCCAAGACAGCTCACTTTGTAAAGACTAAATGTCAGTTTTTTATATTGTTAGATACAGTAATATGAGTGCATGTGCGCCACATCATTGTAACTTCTATATTGTTAGCCAAGCATGGCTGAAAGGTCAATATAGTAAAAATAATAAATATATAATGTTATGAGATTTATGCTATTTAGTCTAAACATTTAAGTTTATGTTATAATTTGTAGTAATTCTATACTGAAAGAGTTAAGAGTATATTTTGCAATTTCCTAAATTTCAGATTAAGTAAAAACCCTGATAACCGAAGTAAGGACAATGAAAAATTACATGAACTGAAGTAAAAAACGTATTCCCAATAAAACATTAGAAGTATTACCTTAGAAAAGTATCCAACAAAATGGCACCCTGTGTCATCATTTTTTGTGAGAACATAAAACAGAAATGGGTCAACATCATAGTAGAGGGTTTTATGATCAAGGAAAAGTTTGGCAAGAAGACACAGATTTTGACAGTAGATTTTGTTGATGTTTCCATCCACTTCAAAGACTGATAGGTCATCTTTTCGGTAAATCTCTGTGGCAGGAGGGTGAGTCCATGAACACTTTCTCTGTCAAAAATAGGATAAAAAAGTTTTGGAATCAAAATATAATAGCTTTTTTTCTGGTTAACACAAAAAGATTTAAGCACATAATTTAAATATTTAATTTCAGGATCAGAATATGTACATGTACATATCATTAGGTATTTTATAATAATTACAGCTTATCACTGCTTTACTGTAAAAGATTTCATGACATGTACAAGTCATTATATCAATTGAAAAGCATCGTACTCCCAAGTTATTGAAATCTTTATTTATCCCATACGATGAAAGAAAATTTATTACCTAATACATCATATCTCCCAAGTTATTAAAACAGTTTAATTATCCCATACGATGTTACACATGAATAATAAAAGAACAAATAAGCATACTTTGTTTACTCTCAATACACCATAAGAACATTCTCTCATAAAAGGCTTAATTCAATCAGCCTTCCTCACACCATGTTAATATTGTATTTCTTAACATTTATATCAAAAAATAAATCTTAAAACAAAAATTCACAGCTAATGCATAATAAACAAGACAAAACGAATTTTTTCACTCTTCTGAAACATTGACAATTTTGCACAAAAACCAAATATCAAGTACTTCCTAAACACATGATTAATAAAATAATATTTTAATAAAAATAAAATTTCTGTATGAAAATTCCTCATACAATAAAGCACTATTCAAATTTATAGTCAATTTATCAAATTTGACTTATCATTTCAATAGCAAATTTTTCATTTGACATTGCAGGTTTTAAATCTTATGTTCAGTTATACAAATCACCTACAGATATTCTAATTACAAAATGCAAACGGTTACAAACAAAATGATAAAATGTGGTAATTCTGCTTTACAAGTCACACACAAAAAAACATTTACCATTTAAAAGTATGATTCAAGTTCTTCTAGTGATTTACTTTTATAGTTGATAAAACTTTAACTAAATGTGCATATCTGAGAATGAATGTTTACCATAATTTCAAATTTACTAACTGTATCTATGTGAAATGTGGCAAGCTTTTAGTAAGTCTAAAAGTCTGTTAAGATATTGCACTTGCATAGCCTCTAAAACCACTGATATGCATATCTACAGTTTTTTTTCAGTATTCCTGTACAAAGTACCTGGTATTTACTTTCCTCTACCATGAACTGTTGCTAAATCATTTGCCTGGAGCAAAATGAATAGTTTAAAACTCTACCATCAAATACCTAATTCCATGTCAATTGGCATTCTGTAAAAGGTATTAGCATCCAAACTTTGACCCACAACTGTGTTCAGATAGTTAAAACAGTCAATTACCAAAATTTAACATTTCAAAGGCCCTGTTACCTTACCTGTACAGTAAGACTAATATAAGATAGAGTATAATAACAATTCAGATGCAGTAAATCAATTATTTTAGTGAATTCATACACTTGAAAGAGCTGTCTGCTTTAAATTTATCATACTATTACACTGCTGTTGAAGGTTTTTTTAATTGAGACAAATGGAAAAGGAAAATGGGTATCTTTATACATTTTTTACAGTACTTATTATTGTTTACATGATACAAGGTATAATTCAGACTAATGAGGCACTTTTCATGGTTGAGGAACATTAGAGGCAACTAATAATTTCAAATCTTTGTTGACAGTAATGAATATCTAAGAAGCATACACAGCTATTTATCTTAAAAAAGAAAAACTTATTCAGATACTCAAGCAAACTGAAAGGTTCTCAATATTCCTTAAATTATTATTTTTTAAACAAAACAGGTGATACTTCATTCAAAATTCCATATATCCTATGAAAAATAAATTTGCATAGTAGAATGTTAAGTTGTCATAGTGGATAATAGAGGTAATTTGTCATAAATGGAACAACAATTCAATAAACTTTTAATCAAATACATGCAACAAATTTAAAGATTAAAAAAAATATTACTTCGAACAATGATACCAGAGCTACTCATAAAACTATTTTTCTCCTCATGTTTGAGTATGTCCAAAATCACTACCAGTTGTTCAAAAATAATGAATTAGACTCACCCTATGGCTATGAAGTACACTTCGACTTTTCATGTATTTGAGACAGAATTCACACAGGAAAAGTTTAGGTAATCTAAGAAATAATTAACATTTAGGATTTTTAATCATAACTCTCAGATGGAGGTTAAGAAACATGTTTGTATTTTTAGAAGTTCTACTAGATTAAAAATAAATTAGTTTTTTTTTTGCATTCTACACAAAGCTAATTGAGGGCTATCTATACTAGCCTTCCTTAATTTTGAAGTGATAAACTAGAGGGAGAGCAGCTTGTCAACATCACCTACCACCAACTCTTGAGCACTCGTTTACCAACAAAATAGTGGGATTGACTGCAAGTTTATAACACCCTTATGGCTTAAAGATCAAGCATGTTCAGCAACAAATTTAGATTCTGAAACTTGCAAATTACAAGTGGAGCACCTTAATCAAGGCCTTGCAATGTCACAAACAAAAAAGAGAACAAAAATAACAATAGATATTACAAAAGTAAAAAAAAATAATCTCATGTCAATATTAAGGAATAAGGCACATGACACACTATATCTCAAGATTTAAAAAGTAATAATATTTTATACACTTCTAGCAAGGAAAAATTAACTGAAAGTACTGCTTTTATGTGTCATGTTTAACACAATGAAAATTTATTTATACAAACATTCATTTCTGTTCATTTCTAAAAATGTATTACATAAAGCACTAAATTAAAAACCATACTAATGATTATCATTAATGGTTCAGGGTTGACCCACGGAAGTCTAAATACTCAATTACAATTATTGTTCTTTTTACTTACATTTAATACAATTGTAAACTCAGCACACCATGGTATAAATTCATCGAGGAAAAAAATGTAACTTTACCTAGCATACTCTTGTGGGAAAGGAGAAGAGTACCATGTCTGAATCTCGTACTGACCAAACTCTATGGCCATAGGGTAACGAGCAGGAGTCTCAGTCAATGGTGTTTCATGTACAATAGTCTATGGTTTCAAGGAGATAACTTATTAGTTATATAAGAAACCTGTATAAATTTTTCTAGATTATTAATACATAAAAATCTGAGCTAAATTACATCAGATAAGAATACTGCAAGTTACTTTAATGCTGGGTAAACATTTTGAAGTAAAACACTGGTTTGATAAGTTACTTTCAAAGACAACTGGGTGAATATTTTCAATGAAAGAACTATAAACAGAACATTAAACCTTTCCCTTCTTATATATAAAACATTTCAAAGGTAATAAGATATGCACAAAAAAGTTACAATGAACTTTAATGTAGTAATAAATATTCAAAAGTTGATTTATTTATAAATAATTAGAAGTGAGCTTTACAGATTATTTAGCCATTCACAAAAGAATACTGAAAATATCGATGCATATTAACTTTGGAGAAAATAAACATATACATCACCACAAGTTAAAGAATTCTTTCTAAACTTTTTGTATCTTCACACATATATATCACATTAACAACACATATAATGATTAATTCATTAAAAAATTAGTTTATGAAAAACTGAAAACAGTAGAAGTTATAAATTTCTCAATTGTGACATTTATCTTCTGAAGTTGAATCATTAATTAGTGAAATGACAAAACAGTAAAAATATTGATATGCTCATGTAATTTTAAATCTAATACTGGTAGGAAGGCTTGTATTTAATATGAAAAACAATTATAACATTTCAGTGTTTTTATTTTTTAAATCACAAAGATACAACTTTTCCAAGTATTATTCAAACATACTAGTAGAAGTATTTCAAAACAACAAAAGTTTATTCTATACTTATCAAGGCCTAAAACTACTAGTTATTCTTGTTTAACCTTATCAAATCTAAATCATAATTAAAAAGTTACCAGTACCTACAAAGTTAGTTTAAGCATCTAATGAGCAAATGCATTTTTTTAAATTATCAACCAACACATTTTTCGAACTTTTAAACCTTTACATGAAAGTTACCTAGGATAGTATCAGTGTCACTTTATTTAACAACTTACACATAATGAATCTTCCTGGGCTTTTTTGAATAGGTTAAGATCTTTCTCAGTCACTCCTGGTAACAAATGCTGTTTGTTGTTCTGTACAGGTGTTCCATCTGTTAAAGAAAGTTGTAAAAAAACAAATTGCACATTTAAATAACTAACTTTATAAATGTTTAAAAATCTCTCTCTCTCACCCTTGCTCTGGTCCAGATATTTTACTCCAATTAAAAGGCACTATGAAATGTCAAAGCAGTGGTTTTACAACCCTCAATTTTTACATGCTCAGATAATTTTGTATTACTCTAAAAATTAGAAAGATAAATAAAAACCTAAACCATACTATTTTGATGCATAAATGTTCATATACTGAAAAAAAAAAACAATAACAAATACATGTTTTCTCTAGAAAAATAATTATTTTATTAAAAAAAAAGGGGGGCAGAATACTTGCGATTCTATAACAACAGCTACTTTGACTGGCAACATATATTATTCTAAATATGAAACAGTGAAAATATATTCTATACTTATTATACAATTCTTAAAACAATTCTTTGTCAAGGAGCAAATGGTACACTATGTTCTGAAAAGGCATAGAAAAACTTATTAAGCTCAATTATTCAGGTTAAGTCAGGTCTAGAATTTTTTTTCAATTTTTTTCACTCAACACTACTATAACATTTAAAAAATACAATTTACTTCAGATAATTATTTTTATTTAGTTTTCACAGAAAAGTATCAAATTCTCTTATACACAGTCTAAAGTTTTTAATTGTTTTAACAACACTGTACTTAGGCTTAAAATCTTGTAATTCAAGTATATTATTCTCTGGGTTTTTAAAGGAGGTCATGAACATGATGGAACTTGTTTATTATGCTCATCTACGAGACACTTATGGAAAACTGTTGTAGTCATTTACTAATCATCCTTTATGAATGTTAATTCTGTCACATAATTATAATTCCATTTATATGATTATTTTCTGTCCAGTTTTTAAACCAAAAAGATCTAACTTAAACATAGAGGTAGACAATATTCAAGAGGCTTTAAGGTTTTCCAACATAGTAGGTCTTGTAAGGTGAAAAAAACATCACTATAACACAAACTTATTTAATATAATAAGGCACATTTTCTGAAGGTTCATTTTTTGCTATAAAAGTCTAAAATTAAAAATATAAGGTTTTAGCAATTAAAAACTGATTTACCATCGAGCACCAGCTATCCTGAGGGAAACTTCGGAGGGAACCAGCTACTAGATGGTTCGATTAGTCTTTCGCTGAGCACATACTTGTGTTTAAAATGTGTAATATACAGTTATTTGCCTCAGACTAAAGAATCTTAAAATTTATTTGCTATTTTTAAGCCATTACGATTTTATGACTTAAAAATGCTGCTAACAAACTTCTAAGTCATAGGAAAAAATGCATTAAATATAACTTCACCAAAATTCAGATATAGTATTATCATGAAAATTTGGGATACAGTAACAGATTCCTGGAAACAGGTTTGTCATATACACATAAGGGGAAGCTAATATTTACTCTTAAGTACTCATTAAAAAATACTGTATAGAGACATGTTATTTTGAACTACTAGATTAAGATTTTTCATTTCATTAAAGAATGTTAAGTTTATAAAAAACCTTATTTACTGTTCAATGTTTGAAAAAAGTATTAACATAAAAAGATGCTTTAAAGTAAAAATAAATATTTATTGCATTTATTAACAAAATATCAAGGTATCTAATATTTATTTATTCTAATGTCATTTCACATTCTTAAAACTAAACACATAGCCCTATTATGGAAATGTATATAAAACTGTGATAAAAAAACACACCAAAAATTACATATCAGGTACAAGATTTAGAGCATATTCTTCACTAGATGGTGGAAGTAGGCTTACTTAATACCTCTTTAAGGCCTACACATTTGACTTGTTTAGTTTAGGTATAAAGAAATATTACAAACTAAAAAAATGTACATTCCTCTAAACTATTACGTGTTACATGGAGTGTCTTTATTTTTTAATCTTAACTTGGACTGCAAGTTTTATCACTATTTCAACAACGGGTTTATTTCCTGATGAATACTTTGAAATAACAATGAAGGATTGTTTTTTTTTAGCAACTCTTTTTATTATAGTCACATACAACTTAATGTAACATTCAGATCATGATGAAACATTCATTACTAGTTTAAAAAAAAAACCTTAAAACTCGCAAACAATTTAATTGTTTACTAAGCCGCCATTCAATTTACACAAGTTTGATGAAAGAATCATCTGACCATTTATTTCCTAGGGACTTAGTTTTATATTTTAATAACTGTATATATTTATAAGATAAGGACATGTACAGAAATAGTGAATGCATAGTCAGGGCTGCCAAGAACCATGATCAATTTACATAAAGACATCAATCTAGTTTGCAATGATTATTCATTTACTCCCAAAATAACACCTGGTTTCTTTTACATTATGCCCAAATAAGTGTTAGGGCCACTAAATCTGAATTTTACACTAACTGATCACCTAACCGTCAGCCATTCTACTCTTCAAATTGGTAAACAATAAGATTTTTCTATTAAAGTACCTGTAACTGTGTAGGCACAACCATTTTGTTTAATTAATGACTATTGCCAGCATCTAAGAGAAAAAAGTCCCTAAGGGTTTTTTAGCACCTGGATGTAGAAGAAAGGGGATAACAGTGCACAGAAGTAGAAGCACGGTCATCAGTGTCTGAACAAACATCAAACATAAGTTGCACAGAATACCCATGAAATTAAAGTCCATACTACAGGAGCAAGGGTAACAGTAACTAGTACATAAGAAAAAAAAACAACTCATTAGAACTGTGGACAAATGCTGAAACTTCACACTTACAGTACTTTTTATAATGCTAATGTATAAGCAGCATAAATTTCCAGGTCACACGTGAATTGCTACTGTTAGTTGATACGATCTCTCTTTTTTACTCTTTTTTTTGGCACACAAGTCTTTCTCTCACCCAGCACACGTGTGTTCTCACACAGAGAAGTGTCAAGTTAACTCCTTTAATGTACACAGTGTTGTCATATTATTCCAACAAATACTTATCATGGTTAATTATCATTCTGGCACTCTTAAAAGATGTCAAAACAGTCCAAATGTAACAGGAGTTTCACTTTCCCGTGTTCAACCTATTTTTGCATGACTGAACCATATACTAGATCTTAGATGACAGTACCAAAAGATTCCACATTTTTCAATGTTTAGTTATTAAATATTGATTTAAAAAAATTATTTTGTTTTATTCAATTTATGCATTAAGAAGTTAAGGAACTAGACTAAGTTTCATGATCATCAACAAACATCATTAATCGTGAAAGCACTATTTCACTAGTAACCCAAATATAAAGTGGAGCAGTTAATTTCTCCATTTGAACTGCAATGTTTAAACAGATACATTACAACATAAACTGACATACATGTGCATAAATATGGACAAAATATTTAAAAAAATTAGCCAGTGTCAATGACCCTATGGGTATAATGTTGAAAAACACTTCTCACGAAGTTTAGTAGCTTGTAATACTTTAAAAAAAACTGTTACAACGTACAAAGGAGAACCACAGAGTCAATGAAAATTAATTCACACATCTTGCATGTGAATAGTCATAAAGAAAACCCAACCCACTCACGTCAAATGTATGGGATGCAATGTAAAAGTTACTGAAGAACTATAAAGAAGGAAACATACTTGAATATCAAATGGGGCAGAAGGCTTCGAGTGCTAAATCCGAGATAAGAAATGTGACTATACAAGCAACAAAATAAAGAAATTATAACACGTCATTATAATGTCCCGATATGACGAAACATTATCACAATGTGGAAGGTGTGTATTGGTTACAGTCTACCTCTAAAAAAATAAAACAAAATTTCCATAATAACTCGTTTTTAAGATACTAAACTAACTGATGTGCGAAATATAATGTTAAAACAAAATGCTGATTCATGCAATTGTTTACCATGCACCAAGTGCTCAATTGTATTTTTAAATAAACCTTCTAATAAACATTTTATTACTGAAGTTAAATAAGTTTTTCATTCAACAGCTTAAAACAAATATTAATTCAACTTTGGTTAATCAAGATAACTCATCCTTTTATAGATTTTTTAAGTAATGGTAAGAAGATATTAAGCTGTTGAACCATAGTTTTTTAGCATCAAATATGAAAGAAGTTTTCCTTTTTTGCATAAAGTATAAAACTTCTTCCAACTAAAACATCCCCATGTTGTTGAGACATTATTCTGTATTCAATGAATGTTTAAGTTGAATTAACTCATTTTTAATCTACAATTAGGAGTTAAAATTTTAGTATGAAGAACATAAATAACAAGCATATCATAACAGGAAATTCAAAATCCTTATACTACAAGACTGGCTACTTCATTAGGACACCCAAGATGTATCACTTTTTGTCAAGATAATAGTATGGACTCAGTGTGGCATACCCTGCTCCAGATAACGGAAGGCACCTTATTCATAGTAGCCCATTTATTGGGAAGTGTGGTCTACACTTTGGGAGAGATTTACAGGACTGAGATCCCTAACTGTACTAGCCAAGAAAGGTGACTGAAGTCACTCATCATATTCTTTGAATCAATTTTACACAATACACGTACAATGGGGTACTGTATTATCATCCAAGAAGAGCACTTGTCCATAAGGGTAGAAATGCAGGACAGTGGGATGGACATGATTGACAATGAGGTTTAGGTATGCACTCTTGATGTTATTTGCTCTTTTAAAGTAATAATCAAAAGATCCAATTTTTGGCGTAAGTGCAACCCCCACACTATTACACTGAGTTCTGAGAATTATATTGTTGGGAAAATGAAGTCATGGTGAAGTATCTCATGTGATTATTTTAATATTTTGACTCTTCCGTCAGAACAGAAATGCAATTCAGACTTCGTCACTTGGTTCAATTTATTCACTATACAAAATTTGCACTACTCTGAGTATAACAACTGATGCTGTGCTTTTCTGTTTCTGTTCAAAAACTGGTTTACAGCAGTTTGTGCTATGTTCTTTGTACGGTTAGGTATAGTTGGAACTAGTCATAT